AACATTTCTGAACTTGGTACTTGTCATTTCACTTGACCAAAAGGCCAAGAAGCAATGGCACTTGCCATTTCTCTGAATGTTTTCACCAGATATTTACTGTGTTATATATTTTGCATAACTACAACTTTGTATATTTTAGAAATACTGTAATAATCTGCTTTTCCCCCATTTTCAATTAAGATTGAGATTTATCTTTGGTGCTGTTACATTTACCCATTTTCTTCTTGGTGGATATTAGATTGCTTCTAATATTAAATGACTATAAATCATTCTGCAATTAATACTCATGTATATGACCCTTTGTAGCAACATACAAGAGTTTCTCCAAGATACACACCTAGGAATGAAATTGCGGCGTCATTGCCAATGTATATCTTAAACGTTCCAAGATCTTTCAAAGTTGTTCTCCAGAGTGGTTATATTAATTTAAGCTGCTAGAAAAACAGGATACAAGGACTGGGGATTTAGTTCAGCAGCTTTAATGCCTGCCTCAGAAGTTCAAGGTTCTGAGTTTGATCCCCAGTACCAAAAAACAAAAACAAAAACAAAAACAAAACCAGGATATGAGTTCCTGTTGCTCTTTGACATTTGGTATTGTTAGACTTTAATATTTTATTAATTTTCCCAGTATTTGGATGTGAATGGTGTGTCATGCAGTTGTTTTTCCTAGTTTTTTTCTTTTTCTTCTTCTTCTTCTTCTCCTTTTCCTTCCTCCTCCTCCTCCTTATCTTCTCCCTCTTCCTCCCCCTCCTCTTCTTCTTCCTCCCCTTCCCTTTGCTCCTTCTCCTCCTTCTCCTTATTCTCCTTCTTCTTTTGAGGTACCAGGGGTTGAATCCAGGGCTGAGTTCAGTATTGGTAATTTATGTCTCTAAAAATCTGTCCATTTCTTCAAGAGTCTCCAATTTGTTGCATTACAGTTTTTCATAGTAGTTTGTAATGATTTTCATATTTTGGCAGTGTTGTAATTTTAACTGTTTATTTCTAAGTGCATTAATGTGGATCTCTTTATTCCTTCTTTTGGTAAATTTGGCTAAGGGTTTGTACATTTTGTTTATTCTTTCAAAGAATCAGCTTTTAGCTCATTATTGATTCTTGGAGTTTTTTTTAGTTTTATTTTCATTAATTTCTATTCTTTTTTTTTTTTGTATCGGGGATCAAACTCGGGTCCTTGTGCTTTGGAGGCAGGCAGCAGAAACACTGAGCTAAATCTCTGGCCCTATTCAATCTTTATGATGTCCTTCTTGTACTAGATTTGTTTTGTTTTGTTTTTGGTACTGGGATTGAATTTAGGACCTTTTGCTTCTGAGGCAGGCAGCAGTACCACTGAGCTAAGTCCCTGGCCCTTTTTTTGTTGTTTGCTTTTGTACTAGGTTTGGGATGTGTTGTTCTTGTTTTTCTAGGATCATGAGGTACATCATGTCATTTATTTGAGCTTGCTGTTTTTCTAATGTATTTTCAGCAATACATTTTCCTCTTAGGACTGCTTTCATTGTGCCCATAATGGTATGTTGTGCTGGCATTATCATATGATTCTAGAAATTGTTTAATTTATTCCTTGATTTCTTTTGTGACCCATTAAGTGGTCAAGAGTGTGTTATTTAGGCCCGGGGATTTGGCTCAGTGGTTTCACTGCCTGCCTCGCAAGCACAAGGGCCTGAGTCTAAGTCCCAGTACCAAAAACAAAAAGAGTGTGTTATTTAATATTTAGGTGTTTGTAAGACTTCTGTTGTTGTTTTTTTCAACTGATTTCTAGTTTCTGTGTACTATGATTTGATAGTATGCATAGGATAACTTCAATTCTTTTGTATTTATTTAAGCAGGCTTTATGGACTAGTATATGGTCTATTTTGGAGAAAGTTCAGTATGCTGCTGAGAAGAATGTGTATTATGTTGTAGTCGGATAGAACACTCTGTAGATAATAATATATTAAGTCCGTTTGTTCAAAGGTGTGATTGAGCTGATATTTCTTTGTTAATTTTTTGTTTAGTTAATCTATTTATAAAAATAGAGTATTGAGTGGGGGTGGAAGTGGGTGAAAAGGGGACTTCACACACAATACTACTGAGCTACATTTTCATCTCCAAATAGCTTTTTATAGTGTTTTCTGTGAATGAACATTCATTTTAAGGTAGTCAAATTTATCATTCCTCTCTCCTATGGCATATATATATATATATATATAAAATTTTTTTCAATATCTTAAGATATCCTTTTCTACTACAATGTGAAAAAAATCCTCCAATATTCTCTTGTAAAAGCTTCACAGCTTTGTGTATCACTTTTAGGTCTTGAATTGTTTTTTATATGGTACGAAAGAATCCAATTTCATTTTTTACATGATTATCTAATTAACTTAGCTTAAGCTAATGAAAAGCCTGTCCTCTTAGCTGAGCATAGTGGCACATGCCTGGAATCCCAGTATTCTACAACACTGAAGGCTAAGGCAGGAGGATCTCAAACTTGAGCCCAAACTGAGTAGTCTAACAATTTGGTGAGATTCGTTATAAATAAATAAATAAATAAATAAATAAATAGGCTGGGGACTAGTTCAGCAGGGAGGCCCTGGGTTTATTTCCTAGTACTGGGGGAAAAAAAAGCCTACCTCCTACCACTGGTATGAAGATCTGGGTCATAAATCAAATGCCTAATCAAGTCTCTGACATGGGCTTTTCTCAGGGAAATACTCTAACTTTGAAATTACATTCGTTTTATTTATTTATTTATTTATTTAGGTACCAGGGATCAAACTCTGGACCTTGCATTTGCGGGGCATGCAGCAGAACCACTGAACTAAATCCCTGACTAGTTTTAAAACACATCTTGATACCTGGTATGACAAGTTTTTTTTTTTTTTTTTTACATTTTTAATGCAAGAATCTTTCCTGTTGTTTTTACTTTGCAATACCATATATCACACATTGGAATATTTATTGGGATTACATTAAATCTATAAATCAATCTGAGGTAAATTGACATCTTTATATTAATGATTCTTTTAGTCTAAGAGCATGTTATATCTCTCCATCTATTCAGTCTTCTTTATACTTTCCAACAATATTTTATAATAGCTGGGCATGATAGCACATGCCTATAATCCCAGCACTTGGAAGATTGAAACAGGAAGACTGCTTAGTGCTCAAAGCCACTACATAATGAGTTCAAGGCCAGCATTTCTCAACACTACTGAGCTAAATCCCTGGCCCATCTGCCTCTCTCTCTCTTTTTTTTTTTTTCAGATGGGGTTTTGTCATGTAGTCCAAGCTGTCAATGAACTTGAGATTGGACTTGCGTGAGATCCCCCGCCTGAGCCTTTTGGGCCCCGAGATTATAGGCATATGCCACCAGCATGCTTGACTTTTTTTTTTTTTTTTTTGGTGTGTGTATGGTGCTGGGAATTGAACCTCTGACCTCCTGCATTCTAGGCAAGACCTCTATTATTACTGAGCTACATCTCCAGCCCATTGTGCATACTGGCTGTAGGACACCAAATAATGAGGATTGAGGCCTTACTGAGCTTCTCTGTGAGCACAAAGGAGAAAAACAGCAAGCTATGCTTCCTTTGGCAACGTGAGGCATGCCAGCATGTTGCAAGTTCCAGAGAAGAGTCAGTGCAGCCCAGCTCTGGTTGTTTACCTGGGCACATAACAAGAGGCAGATGAATCTTGTATTAATCTAATTGTTTGTTCCCGAGTCTAAGTGAATAAAAGCAAGGTGAGCCAAATGCTCAGGGCTCATTGTCCACTAGAGGCAAGAGCCCCCTGGTCCCCTCATTCCAAATTATTTCCATGTCTTTTGTCTTCATCCTCATTTGCCCCTTTGTTGGGGATAAATTCATACGCTGTCTCCTACACCGGCTATTTGTGTATCTTTGGAGAAATGTCTTAAGTCCTTACTCATTTTTCAAATTGGGTTATTTGAGTTTTTGTTGTTGTTGCTGTTCAGTTGTAGGAATACTTTATATTCTGGAGATATATATTACTATTTATTTATCTATCTTTTTGTGGTACCGGGATTGAACTCAGGACCTCGCACTTGCAAGGCAGGTGCGGTGCCACTGAACTAAATCCCCAGCCCTTTACTTTTTATTTTTATTTTTTTGCAGTGCTGAGGACTGAACCAAGGGCTTCACATATGCTAAGGCAAGGGCTTTGCCACTGAGCTACTCTCCAGCCTTATAGTCTAGATAGTAATCTTTTATCTGATATATAACTTGCAAATGTTTCCTTCTGTTGCTAGTGTCCCTCCCCACTTCTTCTCTGTCAGTACTGGAGACAAAACTCAGGGTCTTTACAGTGAGTTACGTCCCCAGCCGTTTAAAAAATTTTTTTATATTGAGACAGAGTCTCTCTAAGATTTTCCAGCTGGGCTCAAAGTTGTGATCCTTCTGCCTTACTCTCCCAGAGGGCTGGGATTACAGGCATGCACCATCAAGCCTGGGGATCATATTTTTTTATTGTTGTGCTTTTGGAGTGGGTGGTTGGAGGTGTGGAAGATGGAACCCAATGTCTCACACATGCTAAACAGCGCTATACAACTGAATTACACTCTAAAAAAATGTGCAAAATTTTTATTTTATTTTGTGGTGCTAGGAATCAAACCTGGGCCTTGACATATGCTAGGTAAATATGCTACCATTGAGCCATATCATCAGCCCAGAAAGGTTTTAATTTTGTTGAAGTCTAATTTATCTATCTTCTCTGGCTTTATATTTTGCTTCAATAACGATAAAGAGTATTAAATAATATGATTATTATTCTTTTTTATTTAGTGGGAAAAGGAGGAGGAAGGAAGAAATGGCAGGAGACAAAAGGCTTTCTATGTAGATTTGGGTTTATTCAGTAGAGGAGCAGTGAGGACAACCAGAAAAAAGTAATTTCCACACACAGGGATGACATGAAAGTGAGGCATATAGAGTCTGTGTGTGTGTGTGTATACCACGGACTGTTGCAGAACTGAGGCAGAAACCAAATGCCTAGAAGAGTCAAAGCAATCTTTACAGAGGAAGAAGATAAGCGCAGAAGAAATGTCTGGCCAAGAACGGGGGAAGAGCAGCAGTATGAGGAACAGCACATAAAAGTAGGTATATACATTTATGGCCCCATTTGTGAAAGGTAAATAGTTTTTCTATGGCTGGAATATGGAAAAAATGGAGAGAAGATATGGGAAATGTAGGAGAGAGGTAGGCTCAGGTCTGATGGTAGAGCCTTAAACAGTAGTACAAAGAATTTGGAATTTTATAACATAGGCAATGAAGAGTCATTAACTTAAATATTTTTCCTGTGTTCCAAAATAGTCCATGTTCATTATAGAATGTTAGGAAAACAACAACAAGTGAAATAAAAACCACAAGGAACATACAATATTTTACACTTGATCTTAGCCAAAAGGCTGAGAAGTGATGGGAACATAAAATATTTTCATGTAGGGAGAAGCTATCAACTTACCTGTGTCAGTATTCTCTGGAAAGATCATCCAGTCCCAATTTAGAGCAGTGGTGTCAAACCTATGGCATGCACTGTGCAAGCAGAGGGCACGCAGAGCCCTCTCGGTTGGCACATGAACCTAATTGCCCCAGCCACTGACCATTGGGTAAGTTGTTTTTTCTAAACTAAAACCTCAGTATTCAGGTTTAATTGCAGTGTCCGCTTGTGGGTTTATATACTTACATAAGAAAGGGGGGTTTGGGTTGCAGTTTGAGCACTGGTCTCTAAAAGGTTCGCCATCACTGATTTAGAGGCTGAGTCAATGGAGAAACAAGGGGCTGGGGATTTAGCTTAGTGGTTCTGGTGCCTGCCTTACAAGTGTAAGGAACCCAGTTCCATCCCTGGTACAAAAAAAAAAAAGAAAGAAAGAAAGAACGAAATGGAGAGACAGGAGGATAGGAGGCTATTGCCATAGTACACATGAGGGAAGAAGGTCTAGAAAAGTAGCAATGGAGATGGAGAAGTGAGTTATTCCTGAGCAGGAATCAACTAAGTCTAGTTACAGGCAAGGGAGGAAAAAGCATGGGTGATCCTGAAAGAATGAATTCTCTCAGAATGATTCTGAGAGAATGGAATCAATCAGGCTATTCAGCTATGACTTGGCAAATATCAAACTTGTGAAATAATGAGACTTAGGACAGTTAAAATATAAGGGGGTTGGGCCCATGTGAAGGTTTGGAATAATGATGCAAAGTGAGTGAGAGGGTTTTTAAAAATTTTTTTGGAAATCCACAGTGAAATACTCTTTGCTCACATATTTCACTGAATTTTAAGAATTATTCCCAGGATTAATTAGACATTAATTAGGGTAATGAATATAAAATCCCTAATTCCACTGTTAATGAGAAAAGAATCACTGAACTGTTAAGAAACATGTTACTTGCTAAATCCAGGTAGATATATGGGGGCTTATTCCATTATTCTCTTTATTATTGGTATATTATTTTTGGTTATAATTATTTAGGTAATTTTATCATATTGATTTTAGTATAATCTCATCTACTCATTCATCAAACATTTACTATCCATTTACTATGTGCCAGGTAGTGTGCTAGCTGATATGGGGAACACAAAAATATATTCAGTGATGTAAGTGCTATCAGAATGGTAAAAATAATGTGCGGTAAACTGGTAAGACTTCTTTAAATTGGGGTGATTTGTGCACAACATTGGTTAGGACATAGGTTAGAGAACATGAATTTCTAACGGGCCCATAGTTTTATGGGGAAAGCTCTGAAGTTGTAATGTGGAGAGGTATTTGCATACCCCCTTTAATTGTGGGGTTCATGCCCGTCCCTGTTTCTTACTGGATGTTATTAACCCTACTCAACAGCCAGGGAAAGGAGGCTGTTTCATGCTATTTTGTGATTTAAAACATTTGCACTTGGAGGCACATGCCCATCTCAGGTTCTCAGAAGGTTAAAGCAGGACAATCACAAAATTTGAGTCCAGCCTGGGCAACTTAGGGAGACCCTTCCTCAAAGTATAAAAATAACAAAGGACTGGGGATGTAGCTCAGTAGCAGAGTCAAAACCAGGCAGTGTGGGGGGTGTTTGGTTTGAGGCCTGAGAATATAGCTCAGTGGTTAAGTACTTGCACCTGGGTTCAATAGCCAGCCGCACCCTCCTCACCCCCGTTTGAATTAAAACAATGGATATGGCCTTGATTCCAATAAAAGCTTCCATATTAAAAAAATGAAAAATAAAACACGACTAAACCCGGGGCCTTTGCAGAGTTAATCCCCAGCCCCATTTAAAAATGTTTTCTCTGAGGCAATGTCTCACTAAATTGCTCAGACTGGGCTCCTGGGTGTGACCCTCCTGCCTCATCCTCTCATAGTGCTGGGATTACAGGTATGCACCACCATGGTAAAAGGCAATTTTTTTTTTTTTTTAAAAGACAGAGTCTTACTATGTAGTTGAAACTGACCTGGAATTCACTTTGTAGCCCAGGATGGTCTTGAACTCACAGCGATCCTCCTGTCTCAGCCTCCTGAGTGCTGGGATTACAGGCGTGTGTCACCACGCCCGGCGGTAAAAGGCTTTTAAAAAGTTTTATTATGACCCCAAAATTGCCACGGGAAAGCTTGACTTCAGTTACTTTGTAACACCACCCTATAACCTAGGTACTATTACTCTTTAATCTGCTCAAATTTTACAAGTCAGAAAACTCATACTATTTCTAACCTTGCCTCTGCCTTGGGGGTCACTCGGTTTAACACTCAGATATTGTTTTCTGGTCAGCAATAAAGCTCTCTGGATGTCAGAGGGGAGGGTCGAATAAGCACTTGTCACTTGCACAGTGAGAGGTCATACACGGTAATAAATGCAAATACTTTAAAACACTCGACACTTAAGTGAACCATTACTATTATTCTCGAAGTTTTATTCATAATGTTGGATATAATTTACAGCTGAGTGAGCATAAAGTACTTAGACTAAGTTTCCCATAGCCTCTGCATCAGGATAAATAATATTTTCCTCTCAGGCTTCACTTTGTTGACAGCCCCCCATCTTTATCTACTTGTCCCTCGTGTTTTTTCTGAAAGCGTGCATCAAGAGCATCACCTTCCCAAACGGAGCAGAGTATTTCCTGAGACTCGAAGGCTGAACAGAACCTGGGAGTGCCGAGATGAATCAACCGTGAATGGAGAGCATGCTGACGGGAGAGCGGAGGTGCCGGACCTTTGCAGAACAGCAGGACAAGCAGCAGGGGGCAGTGAAGGCCGAAGCCAGGATGGAAGCTTCCCCGCGCCCTCGTGTTTGTGGCTCGGAAGGCAGCCCTTTCTTGGAGCCCAGAGAGCGCAAGACTCCCAATACGAAGGTAGCTACACCCGGAGGGAGTACTGGGGACTCCCAGGGATTCGCTCTTCTGTTCCTTCTTAAGAAGCCATAGCGCCCTCCATCGCAGGAACTTCGACGGAACTGCAGAGGGACACCGATGTAGCCACACGCTTCAACGCCCTCCTAAGTAAACCGGAAGGCTGGGGCCGCGCCTCCTCCGGAGTCCCGCCCCGACGCAACCCGTTCCGTGGCTCCGGTTGGCTGGTCTCTGTGCGTGAAGACGTTACGTCGCGGGGCGGGGTGGAGGAGAGTTTCCTGTAGTGCTTCAGCCTTGTGTCCGCGGCCGCCGCCCCCGCTGTTCTTCGGCTTCTGGGTTTCGCCTGCTTTTACAGTGTACACGTGACGAGCAGGGTTTCGGGCAGTCTCACAGCCGCCAGACGTCTCCGCTGTGCCGCCTAGTCTAGCAGGCGGCTCTTTTTGACTGGTCCGGTTTGCGGGGAAGATGGCGCCGGCGCCTCTAGGCGTCCGGGAGGAGCAGCTGTTGGGGTCCGGACCCCTTTCCCGGCTCCTCTTCCTCGCCCAGGCGGTGCTCCTGCTGCCCGGCGCCCGGGCAGGCCCCTGCCCCGCGCCCTGCTCCTGCAGCGTTTCTCTGCTGGACTGCAGTCGCAGGAAGCTGCCCGCGCTGAGCTGGAGGGCGCTGTCGGGCCCGCTGCCCCCCGACACTTCCAGCTTGTGAGTAGTGGCCGAGCTGAGGGACCGAAGGAGAGGGCAGGCGCCCCTCCGCAGGGCACAGCGGCGGGCAGGTCAGGTGGGGGGCTCGGGTCGGAACCTCAGGTGTTGAAGGCAACTGCCCTTCCGATGTTGTGAACTTTGCGGTGGGGGAGCCTGAAAAAGCCGTTGTTAAGGTTTCTGGAGACTCGTGTGAACACCACGCTTTTAAGAGTCTCTCGACCTAGGAGCCTAATTTTCTGGACTGGGGAGGAGTCGGGGCGGGGATAGTTAATGTTAAGGACTCAAGGGTCCTGCACTGCTTGGGACTCTCTGGATGGCGGAGGGGAGGGTCGAATAAGCAGCCTCTTTCGGCTTTTCGTTTATTTTGTACCTGAGCTCGTAGGGCCCGCTGGCACATGTGACTTTATAAACATGATTGCCAAAGACGCGTGAACTGTCTTTTGTCTCTAGTTTGAGTATTAGCTCATTTTGTGCTGCAGTTTTTGATACTTAACAGGGTTGAAAATTTCAACATATATCAGGAGATTCAGTACTAACCATGATATCTTTATTTTCATTTTTTTGAGTCAGTCCCTCTGCGGAGCCCATCCTCCTGCCTCAACCTAGCAAGTGCTGGGATCACAGGCTTGCGCCACCACTCCCGGCTTCAAGAATATCTTTATAAGTAGCATTCTTGAATTGACTTAATATACCACGTAAGGCAAGGAATGAGTACTTTTTCTAGAGCCTTGTGATGCTTTAGGTGTTTTCAGCCCATTTCTTTGTGGCAGAGAACCTCAAAATTAGGCCATTTTGTTTATAGTACAGTACAGTCAAGTACGTTGATTGAATGAATAAATTCTGGTGTATCCTCTGCTGAGTTTTCATCTTGACAGGTCTTTATTAGCTAGTGGCACCTGAAGAGCTCATTAGTCTGAGTCAGCCTGGTGGCATTAGGAACAACAGTACGTATTAAATACTGCAATTATGGGGATTCTTAACTACCATCATACAGTTATTTCTCTTCCACTAACTGAGCAACACAGTTATTAATTGACAGGCTTGTATTAGAGTCGACTCAAAAAGTCATCACTAAAAAGAACATCTTGGAGTGTAATTAAAATGAGGGGCTCTTGGCATTTTCTTTGGAAATAGGTGGTCTCTGTTGAAGAGATGAATATATATGCACATAAATATTTACAAATAGGTTAGCATAAATAGGAAAAAAGCTACTTCATATATTCCTTGAGGAAATTAACCAGATGTTGTACTAAACAGAATTGCAGTCTAGTAATGGTTTCTTTTTATAATAGCGACTCCGGTAGCTAACTGGTTCTTTTGACTCAAATTTAAAAATTCATATCATTGTGCAGTGTTGTGCATCTTGTTTGCAGCAAGAGGTTTTTTTCTAAGAAATTTTTGGAACAGCTACCTGAATATGACAATAAATCTTGCTCAGGTTTAAAAACAACCCAACTTCATTTTTCTGTAATTGAAATGTGTCCTTTTAAGACCCTTCATTGTAAGGTAAACAGTAATTAGAAAAATTTTTATGTAAGGTGTATTTATTTTGGGTCTGTTTGATTTTTGTTTGATCAAGACAAATTGCCTAAAACCAAGTGACATTAAGAAATTTGAAATGCCCTGTAATGAAATTGACATTTTCAGTTGAAGTGAAATGCTTTGGAGACCAGTTCTATTATAGAAATGTAATTGGATGGGTCTTACATTAGCAGAAGAGCTCTTAGAATATTAAAAAAATAGGATTGTGCTGTTTTAGATTGGGAAATGAAACATTCTTCAGCAGTTACCATTGCCATAAAAACACCAAGTACTCTGGGATTATGTAGTATGAATTTTTAAAATACATAGGTGATGCCCCGTATTAGTAATTTAAACTCAGATGTTCAAACTTGTGGCAGTTGTTAAAATGATTGTGGGAAGGATTCGTTAATGTGTGTGTGTGTGTGAGAGAAAGAGAGAGAGACGCTGGGGATGAAACTCAAGGCCTTGAACCTGTGAGGTGAATGCTATGGTACTTTGTAAGAGCGCACCCCAAACCCAATCCTGTTTTTTTGAGACCTAATGTAGATACTATCTTTTTGCTTCTCTAAATATTAGTATTCAGAACTTGACCTAATTCTGTATCATATTCTGATTACACACACACATGCACACATACAAACACACAAACTTGGAGGACCACTTATATTAATTTCTAGTTTTGTCAAGTAAGGGTGTTAAAACTCATGTCTCCAGTTGTTATGATCACTTCATGGGAGTGTCAAAAAATATTAAGAATTATATACAGTACTTATTATAATAAAGAACAGTTGTATTTACCAAATAAATTTAGCTTTTTGAAAAACTTTTGTAATCTTGTCCTTACTATTTTCTTTTTTGTTTGTTTGTTTTTTGCTGGTACTGGGAATTGAACTCTGGTCCTTGAGCTTGTGAGGCAGGTGGAGGAACCACTGAGCTAAATCCCCAGCCCCTTACTATTTTCATATAGACTGTGAAAACTCCATGATGGATCAGTATTTGGAACAACTGCTGTGCTAGATTAATTTCACTGGATTACATGTGTCTACTTACCTATCATTTTTTAGCCCCTTTTCTCATTATAGTAAGCTTTTTAAGAATTATTTGCATTTGCTCCTTTAGAATAGTTATAAGTAGGTTGGTTTTTAGTGCACAAAAGACATTTATTTACTTTGGGGAAGTCTGTCTAGTATGAAACAAGGTTGAACCTCAGTAGCTGTTAGTTACTGTGTTTTAGTAACATTGGCAAAATGTTTCACTGTTGACATGTGGATTCAATCCTAATCTCTTTAAAAGTCCTGGGCTCACTACCAGTGACTTGTGTGATATCAAGCAAAGAATTATATAACTTTGCCTGTATTTCATATTTCTTTCCTAAAGGAAGGAGAATATATTGTATCCTTCCTTTAGGCATTTGTGCTGGTACTGGTAAATATTGAAATTCTCTTTGGAAAACACCATTAGGTTTTAGAAGGTGATAATGGGAGGGAAGTTAATTTCAGTTCTTGTTTAATTCTCTGAATATAAACCTGTTTTTTTGGGGGGTAGTAATGGGAATTGAGCCCAGGGCCTTTGCCCTAAGCTATATGCCTACACTACCTTCCCCCTTTTGTACCGAGATTGAACTCATGACTTTGTGCTTGTGAGGCAGGCGGCAGCCCAAATGAGCTGAATCCCCAGCCTCTACACTACCCTTTTTAACATTTGGAGATAGGGTCTTGCCAAGTTCCTAAGTTGCTCAAACTGCACTTAAACTTGCAGTCTTTCTGTTTCAGTCTCCCTGAGTATTAGGACTATAGGCATGTGCCACCAAACCTCCATGAAATGTTTCATTTTCAACAGTCATTTCAAAGCATATGTAATGTGCATTTTTAAACTGCACTGAAGATTTTAACATAGTTTGTCTTTATTCTGGTATATTGAGAAGTAGTAAACAGAAGATATGAGCCCACAAAATCTAATGCAATCTTCTAGACATTTTTGCTGAGAAGATAATTGAATAAGAAAACTGATACAGATGACTTTGACTTGGTGTTCATGCAGGTCTAGCCTGGTTCACCTTAATATTAGATTGAATCAGTGTAAGTCACTGATTTAAATACCTTTTGGTGTTGTGAGTATGCCTGTTTGATCACACTTTCCCTAGAATTGATTATCATTGTTACATTTTTTTTCTAATTCGAAATGAGAAAAATCATACATACCTCCCACTGTTATACTGGGCGTTGAACCCTAGGCCTTGTACATGCTAAACACACACTTTTATCACTGCTGTCATATCTTTTTTTTTTTTTTTTTTGGTACCAGGGATCAAACTCAGGACCTTGTACTTGTGAGGCAAGCAGCGGAACCACTGAGCTAAATTCCCAGTCCTGTCATATCATCTTAATCTTATTTGCTTCTGTTTGTATAGGCAGTCAAGATTGTCTTAATATTAACATACCCACACTAATTTTGTTGCTGTGCTTGGCACCTAATTTTAAATATGAGAACCACGTAGAAGAAACTGTGCTAAGTGTATCCATTAGAACTTTAATATTCAACCTTCCCCCTTTCTGATAGGATCTTCCTGTGCATGGGAACAGTACCTGAGGAATTAGGAAAGATGAACAAGGCTTCTATTGGAAAGATGGAGAGTAAGCTAGGGCTATGCAGCCTCAAATCTCAACCTTCCTGCCTAATGAAATAATGGCCGTGACATGGTATTTTCTCCTCGTCCTTCTCTTCCTCTTCCTCTTCTTTTCTTTTTCTTTTTTAGTTATGTTTCATTACATTGAAAATAATTTGCATTTTTCATTATACAACATACACAATCAACCTGTAAGTAATCAGATACTTTATATTAAGATAATCATTTGGCTTCATAATGCTTGAAAATGTATTTCCCTTTCTTAGATCTGTGACATTTTCTACTCAGTTCTTTAAAGGTCCTTCTAGCCTAATGAAAAACTGGCATTTAACCAATGGAGAAAAGATCACATCATATTAAGAGCTTACCAAAAATTTTTTTAAGAGTACTCTAATGCATTCTTATGCCATATTTTATTTTCTGTGCCAAAGTAACTCAATGCATTTATTCTCTATTATTTCAGTCATAAAACGTGTTAGGCTATTCAGATGATGCAAGTAAAAAAAAAAAAAAGCAATTTACCAATGCCAAATTACTAATTTCATGTTTGGGACAAAAACCACAAGAATGGAAGAGTTAACATAAATTATCTTGTTATAAACTAAAATTTTATTTTCTATTTTTTTTGGTGCCAGGGATGGAACAGGGCCCTTGAGCTTGTGAGGCAGACAGCAGAACCACTGAGCCAAATCCCCGGCCCTTGTAAACTAAAATTTTTAGAAAGTATGTGTATTTTTACCTCTACTTCTTTTGCCCTTTCCCAACCTTTCCTTAAAAAAAACAAACTGTAATTATGTCATTTGTAACAACTTCCAGAATAACATGCAGTGATTAGCAGTTTTAAAGTCAA